ACAAGTGCTCTCTTCGACATGCTTGGTCCTCTATTAGTTTTTTTTCCCCCCCTTTCTCTGTCTGGATTTCTCAGGTAGTCAAAGAGTTTTTGGAGAGCTCTTTGACAAGAAAACTAGTTGGAAAACCATTGAACCTTTTTGGTCAAACGAGAATGCCAGTGAGTTGAAAGACAGGAAAAGTGCCTTCCATTGTCACTCAGACATTTGAATTGTTATATATTTATATGGACATGGTTGTGCTGTATGAGTGTTACTTTGGTCATTTGTGAATTACGAAACTTTCTGATAATTATTATCACTATTTTAATACGGTTCAATTCAGGGACAAAAAGCAGATTTCCAGAAAAATGTAGCACTACCTTCAATAAAATGCCTAAAAAGGTTTTAAATGATCTGGTAATGGTCCGTGACAGGTTTTGAATGGAGTCCTCGAGAAACTCATGGACAGAATCTTACCATCACAGATTGACCATAAAGCCCAGTTCTTTGTGTGGGGCGGGCTGTCTTTTTAAACGTTGTGTTATTTGATGTTATTGATTTTGATTCATTCTAAAATATATGGGGCTTGAAAGTTCCAAAATTTGAGGACCACTGACAAAGGACAATTCTGGCTCTGGCTTTTACCCGGTCAACGACAGCCTGCTCTGGCAACGTGTTTTATATCTGCTTGTCGTAACAATTTAGGGATATACATCACCACCACGCTGTTTTCCTTCAGGAGAGCTCTTAGTTGTTTTCTTTTTACCTCTTCCTCACCCAAATTAAAATAGAACACTTGACTAACCGTCCATCTGTCCAATTAGTTTTTGTAAAAATTGTGGGGGCATTTGGAGGTAATGCCAGCCCTCATCAGATAAAGGTGTGATGAACCGGATGACAGCCAAAGGCAGGACCAGAAAGAAACCTTTACCAACCATTAACACTCTCTTCCATAGCTTTGGTTAATTCAGTACTTCTCAAATAGTGGGGCGGGGTCCGCTGGGTGGGCGCAATGAGATGCCAGGCGGGGCTAACCAATGGAATATGGCACGCATATGGACATTAGTGTACCACTGCTGTAATGCATAAATGATAACAAGCCTCCAGCCACTAGGTGGCAGCAACTCTCACAGTGGTTTGTACAGATAAAAATATACATGTTATGTTGTCAATAATATTTCAATTCGTGGGGGTGTGGGTTGGGTAGGGTGAAAACATTTCTGTCCACAAGGGGGCGCATGACAGAAAATAATCGCGAACCACTGGTTTAATTTAAGGTGTCCAACTAACTCCAATCCAGAAAGGATCATAGAAAAGGTCCTACATATAACCATATATTGTAACCATATCAACAGGTTTAAAGATAAAACTATCAGTGATAAAATACAGCGCGCTTTTTTTAGCATGGAATTAATAAGTGCCAGAGCTGATACAACAGATACTGTTTTATTAGAAGCATCAAAGAAACATTAAATTCTAGTGACTGCGGATCAAAACGTTGAGCTCTGCCGAGAAAGTTAATTTTTATTTTATATTGGTTTATCTTATGTAGGTAGACATTCGTCAAGGCTAAATAAAACGCTAACATTTAAAAACCTTTGCAGACATTTGATGTGCATTTACAGTACATGGCCAAGGCACGGTCATCATTTTCCGTCAAGTGAACCACCACCTGAACCAACTGAACCAAAAAGTCTTAAACTACTTTCTAAAAACCCTGAATTCCTTAGAACTATTTAACAGATCGCCTAAACAATGTTTACACTCCTGAAACATATGACTTTTATCGGTTTAAAAAATGCTTTTGTTAGTTTTTGTCACCGAAATAATAATTGAAAAATAAAAAGTCATTACACTTTTTTTTTTCCCCTGCTAAACTGAGAAACAACGTTATGATGAGATACCATAATATGACAGTGAAATATTTCCTGAGAGTCGCTCGAGGCCTGCATTATACTCTTACAGTGGGTACTTCCAACAATAAAAACCAGGGCATCGCATTCAAATATTTCTCTGTGAGTAAACAATGTCTGCTTAGTGATGCATTTTCTGTTTAGAGATTTGCAAAACTGAATTTTAAAGGAAGTGCCACCAGTGAAGAAGTGCTTGGTGTTTAGGGAAATAAATAAGGTTATCATTCCAATTTTTTTTTTTTAGGTAAAACTGTGTAAACAGTTATATTAATGATTAGCTCAGTTAAAATTTAGACATATATATATATATATATATATATATATACATATATACATGTATATGTATATATGTGTGTATATATACACATAAATATATACATATATGTGTATATATGTATATATATATACACATATGTATATATATATATACACATATGCATATATGTGTATATATATGTATATATGTATGCATATATGTGTATATATATTTATATATGTATTTATGTATACATACAAAAGTGAAAGGAAAAAAAAAAAAGCTTCCTTATGCATCTGGTTGATAATACGAATTTGTATCAATGCCAGGGGTTAAAGTAGAGATAAACCCCTTGCATTTTTTGGACTGATTCCTATTTCGGATTTTTTTGTAGGTGCAGGTTTTTTTTTGTTAAGTTTTTTGTCCCAAAAGGCTTTGCGGTGCCCCCCGCCTGTGTTGCCTTTGGGGAACTAACTTGTAACATGAAGAGTTTTATTCACCAAAATAAAAGGACAAAACTCCTAACAGAACCAACATCACTGCTGCAACCTATGCTTCCCCTACAACACTCTCCCATACCCATAAACAGTAAACCCCTAATTACAGCAGAAGGGGACAGTGGCTGATTATCGAGATTTCACGGAGGTAGATAAGCTCTGTTTCACATAATGGAATCAGCCGATCGCTGATCCCGCGGAATCACCGATATCGCCTCAGATCTATCGGCCGACTATTCGAATGGTGCACCCCTAGTCTTAAGCCGTTAACAGTCTGTCATTTAATCAGCTTTAAAGCTATGGATATTAGTTTCTGTCTCTTCAAAAGTAGGCGATTGAAGGCAGTGAAGACAGAGAGGCTAATAGTCGGTCTATTGATGCAGCAGTGAACATGGAAGTCATAATAGAGTCGATATGGATGTCAAATATAGGGATATTGTGTGGTAAAGGCAGAGAGCTAGCAGATATATATTCCTGGAGACCAGTTGGATCCAAGCTGTTCTGCCAGTGTGTAGATAGGATAGGGAATGGAGTAGTGATAATCTTGGGGGAGAACGATCTATGGACAGGGTTCTGGAATGTGAAATGAGTGTCAGACGGGATCATGACCTGGGGATTAAAGTTTAAGCGGTGTCATCAGCGCTTACGCAGCACGAGTTGGATATCTCACCGTGAAAGAAGAGGAATCTTGGAGCGAGCTGGAGAAGAGGTCGCAGGGAGGGTCTGAGTGGATGAATGACAGAAGGACAGATGGTTGGGGTATTGCATACCGTATGGAAATTGTTGGGTTAAAACGAGTTGAAAAGCTAATGGTAACATACAGGAATAACAGAAGCTCCACACTGGTGAATTATAGCCAGTGTAGAAAATCCCACCTGAGGCAAACTGGGGATTCTAAAGTGGTGCCAGGGGAGAGTGCAGCGAAGCAGCATAGGAGAGTAGGTAGTGTCTAGAGAACCAATGAAAAGAGGAGGATTGTCAGCGAGATGAAAGCTAGGAGTACTGTGATGCTGGAAACAAAGCAAGCAGTTCAGACGCAAAGGTCAAGGCTATTGATGAGTTGCAGAAAGAGTCGTGTTAATTGGTTTAACAGACGAATGGAGCTACTGTAGGAAGAACGTGCAGCAGGTTGTAGCGGCTAACATGCTAGTGACTGAAAAGGAGGGGGGCAGTATTTTGAGCGGCCAATATTAGGAAAATAAAACAACAAACAAATGGAGGACAGGAAGTGACCCACGAAGTAAGAAGAATTTGTACTGAGAACGACAAGACGGTGGATTTGTCCTCTAGGACAGGAGGGCGACAATGCTGCAAAAATATGTAAAGAAACAACAACTTTAAGGATGTCTTTTCTCATTTTCGTTCACTAATGGAAAATAATTAAATCTGTTAGCATAAGAAAATTATTGCAAGCTAGCTACATGCTAGCTTGAGGTTCGCAGATTTTGTCGTTAAGCCGAAGTTGCATCTGTCATATGAGGTACGTTTAGAAGAACTTGAGAATCCAATGATCACGGCAGTTTACGATTCTAGCTGAACAGCTAAAAAAAAAATGGAAGAGACTCTAGTTATGCAGACCATGACCACTAAGCCAATGTTAACAAAATACAAAATACGGTGATATTTCAGCAAAATTGAGAAAAATCTAATTTCAAACAACATCAGCGAGTTTTGATGAACGCCCCGTTTTATTCATCTCTGAATATTATGCGCTTTGCTGCGCAGGTGAAGACTCGCGGTCATGAATATTTGAAAAGAAAACTATCCTCTGTTTCGCACCTACGAACAGGTGCACAGTTGCGCCAGCGGATTCAGGGAACAGAAGGTGGGTGTGAAACCCTAGAGCGTTGACTGTTGATGTGGTGTCATTGACCCAGTGTCTCTTTTCTTAGTCCTTCTCTGATTACAGGTAATGTAAAATGACACCAGCTGACAGCAGTCTGCACGGCAGCTGTGTTTCAGGACCAAAGACGTCTGCACGGCAGCTGTGTTTCAGGACCGGCAACACAGGAACAGAGTGTGTTCCAGCTTCCTTAATTGGGAGGAAAATACCTTCGAAGCTCGTACGCTATGTTTGCGTTTTATTAATGATGTTGGATCTTCTAAGATTCGTCAACTCATTAAATGAAGCCACTCTCCGTCTGTTTGTTTTCTATTAACCGTTCTTTCTCTGTAGCTGTTTTACTATGCCCTCCGAAAAGTTCCTTTTCTTTATGCAACCAGTGATGGCTATAATGACCTGTTATCTTCTTTCCTGTCATCACAGCTGGTCTTCTGCTAATTGTTTCACACTCTCCTTTTTTCCCCCCCCCATGCCTTTTCTCTGCTTCTCTCCGGCTCCACTAACCTCCTCAGACTGGCATTATGAGGGTAAGAGGGTGAACATCCATCGTATCTTGACCATCATGTTCGCATTTTTGTTTTTGCTCCCCCATTCATTCCTCAACTTTCCTCACTTTGGCTTTAGAGAACGTAGTAAAAAAAACCCAACGCACCCCCTCCTCCCTTCCATCGTATCTTGACCATCATGTTCGCATTTTTGTTTTTGCTCCCCCATTCATTCCTCAACTTTCCTCACTTTGGCTTTAGAGAACGTAGTAAAAAAAACCCAACGCACCCCCTCCTCCCTCCAGTCTCGTCCCCCTTGCCCCACCTCTCCATCTGCTTCATCTGCCGCTGTCTGTCAAGCTAACATTACCTTTGTCCGACGCACTTGTATCACTGTGACATCCATCTGTGAGGCTGTCACTCGCTCTGTGATATGACAGCCCCGTTTTTGACCTATCGGCCGTCTGGTGTCAGTGTTGTTGATGTTTGCGGCTGTCAACGATGCTGCCCTCCTGTGTGGGTCTTATGCTAGGGAGACAATAAGACAAAAATTTTTGTTTTTTTTGAAAAAAAAAAAAAAAAAAAGTCCTACAACTCTGACTAGAGATTGTGATTTTACTGCACTGTTACAAGTTCGCCGGTCAACGCGACCACTCCTCAGATCGAAGGGCTGTCTAGTGTTTTGTCAGATATTATGTAAAAGCTAAAAAAAAAAAAAAAAAACCTTTACTAATTTTGACAAAGCTTGAATGAAGTCAATACAAGAAATCAAAAGGCAACTCGAAATAAATGGACAAATAAATAAAATAGTGTTACGAAATACTAATTAAAAAAACAAAATCTTGTGTCATTTTCTCTTGAACTGACACTGTCACTGTGAGGGAGCGTTCGTAAAGGCCACTCAGTAAATTAAATCACCAAAGCTGCCTCGTACATCCCTGACTAAATTAATTTCATCTCATGCAGTCTTTCTTAGAAAATAGTCGATGACAACAGAAGTGTGCGTTGCTTGAAATAGATGTTGTTACAGGGCCGAATAAAATTCCATCCAGTTTTTGGGGAAAGGCAATTTCTACTGGGCCTTTAGTTTTGAACTTTACTTTAAAAAGCTCCTGCGGTTTTTTGCTTCAACCCACACTTGTCATAACCGAATCTTATTTTTCCATAAAAGGAAAAAAAAAGGTGGTTATCGCATTTTCCCGGAAGAGTCACGTTTTAGTTTTCGTCAATGTGACGTCTGCTCTTCTCAAATGCTCAAATCCGATTTTTAATTTGGCTGGTGAGTTTGAAATTATGCAGCGGTCCACATCAGGGGGGCGCTCCAGGACCATCTGTTTTTATCAGTTTATCCCTGACCAATACTATCTGCAGGTCTCTCTTTCAGCTCAGTCAATGACATCTTTTTAAAGTGAGTTTCTAGAGCAGGGGTTTTCAAACTCGTTTTGCTTATCTTTTTAAAGTGAGTTTCTAGAGCAGAGGTTTTCAAACTCTACGGGCCGCATAGAACCTAATTGGATGTCAAGTGGGCCGGACCACACCAGTCACACTATAATAAATGATAAAGTACAGTAAGTCCAAAAAACAGATTTTTACAACAAATTTCCTGATCATAAAGTGCTTGTGTATTTTTATTTTTTAAATTCATCAAGCGGCCCGGATTGAACCCCCTAGCGGGCCAGTTTTGACCCGCGAGCCGTATATTTGACACCCCCTGGTCTAGATGCCAGTAAATTAGCCGCAGAGTGTGTTATTTCAGCGCTGCGCGGAGCCATGCATTTATGATGTTAATTTTTCTTTTTTTGTTCTTTGTTTATGCAGAATGTAAGCTGTCCCGCCCGGGGCCCCCAGCCACGATTGTGACCATTGACGAGGAGAGTCCCAATGGTAAGTAGCTAACAGGCTATTCTGTAGCGTAGTGTAGATTACACTGCAGGGGTTGTTGTCGGGGCGAGAGTACCTTCATCAACGCTGCCTCAGCCTAGCAGCCGAGGGTACCTTAGGTATTTTTGATTGTGTCCTAAATTATAGACGAACAGACCTTGTTCTCCGTTGTCTGACTTGTTCTCCTGCCACATGCTTCGTCTGAGAGTGAATACTGAGTGCGGGGCTACACTAACGAGTCGGGGGAAATCCCCATGCAGGATGGATGAGTTTTGGTAAACCTGTTTTACAGCAGTGCAGGAAGAGAACGGCAGTCAGGCGGAACCATCTTGCTCAGTTTTTCCTTTGCTTTCTTTAGATTCCCTTTTTCTATCTTCTTCCCCACCTGTGACACCTGCACCCACTTCTCATGCTGCTGGAGGTTTTTTTTTTTTTTTCTTTTCTTTTCACTTACCTTCATGTGATCTTGCTGTGAGATTTCATTTCCTCTAGTTTTTTTTCTGTTATGAACACACACTTTCATGTGTGTGTGTGTGTTAGGGATGACTTTTTGGTCTGATATTGGGCAAAATTTTTGAAGCTGAACTTTACTATCTACTACTTTACTACTATTTACTATCACCTCTGGAGAAAAGGAGGTACCGGATTGATATCAGTATTGGCAGATACTCAAAGTTGTAGTATCGGTACCGGACATGATTTGTATAGTTTTCATAGCCATCTGCTGCCACCTAGCAGAAGACGATTTCGTTGTTCTGCCTTTCATGCCTCGACGAGTCAAAAAAATAATAGTTTTCAGCCTAATTAAGTGAAATTGGATAATATTCCTCGCACACGTAATGCTACTAGAGGTCTGACCTGAAGTTGGTTGCTCGGTGTTGGGTTGACATTTCGATCCCCTACAGTGTGAGCAAATGTCAACATGTGTATCGACTGTCGGCAAAGCAACGATAGGTGGATTTACAGTGGAATAATTGGAAATACGCTGTGCGTAATTGGCCCATGTGTTCGACAGTCGTAAAAAAAAAACACCCAAATTCTGACAACCCTATTATACTGTGTAATATTTTATTTTAACTGTATAGATAGACAGATCAGGGTCCCTCTTTTTGTTTCTGTTTTAAAGGGAAGTCCATTACTGAATGGTGCTCTGCGTTAGTTAAGGCCTGCGTTTGTCGGTACGCTAGCTCCTTCTGCTCCTCCCTCACGGCGCGCAGCTGTAATTCTGGGCTTTGATCGATTGCCGGGGGAACGTGCGAGATGGAGGTAGCCAAACCTGCATCCTGGAGCCTCCCTCGCCCCTCATGCGCTGACGCTCTGTGTGCCAGGGATTTGCGATAATCTTCTTCATAAAGCGCTCATTTACCGGCGATATAGGCCTCTCCTGGCTCCGGCAGCCCTTTATTTATCTCTGTTTGATGAAATGGCCTGCATCCTGTCCTCCCCATAATGAAATGTAAAACAGGGAAACCACGGTTATTGACCGAGGCAATTAGGCCCTTAAATGTGTTTTGTCTCGTTTGTTCTTTCGCACACAAAATCAAACAAATGACAAATACCTGGATCTGATCTTTTGCTTCAGCGTGGATTATTGACACCTTAAGAGAATAAACACATTTCTAAATAATCTTTATGGGTTAAAATGAGCCACAGAAGTGTATTGTGATGTTAAGGAGATGTAACGTGGGAAACATTTACCTATAGCAAATAGGAGTTGTTTATCCGTTGATTGTTGAGGGTAAAAAATAGATTGAACCCAATTTAAAAACGACTCCACGGCGGAGGTGTTCTAAAATACACCTGCTCTGTTTCCTATAGCTTTCCATTTCGCCGTGACGTGTTTTACACTTTGGGTTCAACTTCAAAGGAGAACACATAGTCACAGGGGTGCAGCGAGCGGCCACTGCTCAAATGAAGCGTAACATGTTTAATTTATCTGAGGCCGATACTCCTGCAGCACCGCCGACAGGTGCCAGACACAACACATAAAGTCTCATTGACTCCCAGTCGCAACGCCCGTCGGGACGACGACGCCCGCTCTCCAAAGACTCCTGTCTATGTTTTATGGGCTAAATCTAAAAGCAGTTAATCAGACTGAAGATATTTCTACATCAGCGGAGAGACACAGCTGGTTAAGTGGAGAAATGGGGAGAGAAAAAGGCAAAGGCGGTCGAGAGCGAGACTGGATGGGGATGTATTTTCTCATTGACAGAGAGACTCCTGCGACTGCAGCGGGAAATCAGTGTATACATAAGTAAGGATGCCGTCTCCCCAGCTTTTATCTCATCTCGGCAAATTCTTGATCTATAGTAACTGGAGTGCGTAAGAATCCTTTGAATCTACGCCTTTGTGAGCAACGGTTCAAAGCAATCCACAAAAGCAGCGCTGCTGAAGTGCCTCGTCAGAGTGGTCAATTAAACATAACTTCACGTTACTCATAAGGCTACATAAAGTTGACTTTATCTTTAATTAAACATTGCAACCAAACAGATCATGTAAACCAGGGTTTCTCAACCTCGGGGTCACGACTCTAATTGGGGTCCGCTGGAATTCGAAATCGGAATCACCAAAAAAGTATTCCCAGGGAACCACATATGCCTCCAAGGGGCATCGGTTCCAGCAGCTTTTCCCAAAGGGGAAAAAGGTTTTCTCTGGTACAAATGTTCAACTGAGAACTAAATGAGGAAAAAGCTGTTTTTCACCCGGGTGTCAAGCAGCCCATACAAACAGCCTAATGGCAACGTGTTGCCTAAACTCTAACAACGGGCTCATTAGTAGCGGATGCCCATGTGTGCAGTCCACACACGTCTGCTGAAAAATGGAAGAGAAACAAGTACCTACAGGACTGCAGTACTTCATTAATTGTGATTAATCCACAGTTACCCCTATGATTAATTGTATGAAAAACGTTTCACTACACACACACGCATATATCTAAACTATCTGTCTGTCTATGCGTATATATGTTTATCTTTATCTACAGTATATATATATATGTATATGTATATATATATATATATATATATATATATATATATATATATATATATATATATATAGATGTAAACTGACTGAAAAGATTTTTTTTCTATTAATCTTTTTTTTTTCATATTACATTTGATGTATACAGCACACTGTGT